CAGACGTTCCGGGTGCAGTACATCCAGGACATTATCCTGCCCACACCATCGGTCTTTGTCGAGGACAATATGCTGAACACTCTGTCCAGCTTCATCTTCTTCAACAAGGTGGAGATTGTCACAATGATCCAGGACGATGAGCGCTTCCTGCTCGATGTGTTTGCGGTGCTGACGGATCCCGCCACCGGCGATGCGAAACGCCGCGACACAGTCCTCTTCCTGAAGGAGTTCTGCAACTTCGCCCAGAACCTGCAGCCGCAGGGCAAGGACTCGTTCTACAAAACTCTCACCTGCCTGGGCATCCTGCAGGCGTTAGAACTGACACTCGTGATGAACGACAAGAAGACCAAATCGGCCTCCATCGATATCCTCACGGCCATCGTTGAGTTCTCGCCGCTGGTGGTGCGCAACTACACGCTCAACCAGGCCAACAGGCCGGAGGGGGTAAGTTAATCTGCAGAATCTTTGTTCTAATACATGAATACTTATATTTACCTTTGCCTGCACGTAGGAGCGTATGCTACTGAACATTGCCATCGAACAAATGCTGAACGACTCGGAGCCGGAGCTTGGTATTGCGGTGCAACTGATGGGAATCGTTAAGATCCTGTTGGAGCCGGAGAACATGCTCACCGAGAAGGGCGATTTTCTCAACTTCTTTTACAAATACAGTGTCCAGACGTTAGTGGGTAAGTGCGACTCCAACACAATCAAGTTTTCAGCGTCTAACTACTCGATGTTTTCAGCCCCATTGATGCTTAACACCATGGGCGACCGTCCGCAGAACGAGGACTATCAGACGGCCCAGCTGCTGGGCATCGTCCTGGACATTCTGTCGTTCTGCGTGGAACACCACAGTTATCACATCAAAAACTTTTTGCTGCAAAAGGATCTCCTCAAGCGAATTCTGGTGCTGATGAAGAGCACACATACGTTCCTTGTCCTCGGCGCCCTGCGACTTCTGCGCAAGATAATTGCACTCAAAGATGAGTTTTACAACAGGTGAGTGTGACGTGATTAAATCAAATGCGGCATTGCTAATTGGATAATCCCTATCCGCAGACACATTGTAAAGTGTAATCTGTTTGCGCCGGTGGTGGATGCCTTCATCCGCAACAACGGCCGCTACAATCTGCTGGAGTCGGCCATTCTAGAGCTGTTTGAGTTTATAAAACTCGAGGACATCCGTACTCTGTGCGTTTACTTCGTGGAGAACTTTAGCAAGATATTTGATGAAATCGAATATGTGCAGACATTCAAGTACTTGAAGAATCGCTACGATCAGTACCAGGATCGGCTTAAGGACCGCGACAAGATGGAGAACCGCACGGACGGGTAAGTTTTGCTTTAGCGCCTTGTGCTCCAACACAAAGTGAAAATATTTGGGTATATCATCTTAAAGTGGCCTGCCCATCATCCGTAGCGGTGGCCGGTTTCGTCGGGATCAGCGGCAGATGGAGGAAGAGGAGGAGATGTGGTTCAATGAGGAGGACGATTTCACTGAGGAGATCGACACCTACAGCAATGTCATGAAATGTAAGTATATTTAATAATTGAATACTTGGAATAACGATGGAAACAAATGTGGGTCATCATTCAATTAGGGTTTGGAGAAATTTTATGTTTATATTTAAATTATTGATTCACCCAAGTTATATCTTCTGTTGTTCTTCTGTATTTAAACGTATTTTCCGTTCTTGCCTTGCAGCCGTCAGCGAAAAGAATGGCCCGCAAACGCAAAACCAGCAGAAATCCTCTCCGCCGCACAGTACGTCGCCGCACAGTGGTTTGCTGGGTAACCTGAGCACCACCGCGTCATCCACTGCCACATCCGCCTCGTCAGGCGCTCCAGTGGCCAGTGGCAGCAGTAGCCCCGAGGCGATCTCAGCCGACGAGCAGACGCAGACGGCAGTGCATTTAGTCGCCGCTGCCAACATCGCACTTCAGCACCACCAGCAGCAGCAGCAACAGCAGCAGAACCCATTCCAGCAACAGACCCAGCCCGAAATCGCGGAGCTGCAACAGCAGCTGCGCGGCGTGGAGACGCCACAAAGCCAGGACCTGGAGCTGTCGCAATCGGCCGTAGCCAGCGTATCGCCCTCTTCGTCATCCTCGTCTCTGGAGGCATCCACGTCCTCTTCATCGGCGTCCTCGTCTTCATCCTCGTCGTCATCGTCCTCGCCGCCCGGCTCATCCTCGGCCGCATCTCTTTCCGACTCGGCGACAGTGGCGGCCGTGGCAGCTTCTCAGTTTCTCTCAACGATCGCCACGGCCATGGCGGCGTCTGTTACGGCGGCGGCGGCGGCCACAAGCGGCTCCCCCAACCTGTCGCCAGCTCCGGCTGTCTCCAGTCCGGATATCGAGAGCGCCGACGCCCAGTTGCCGCCCAGCGATGACGCCAGCAGCCCGGTCAGCGGGGATCAAGATGCGAACAGCACGGAAGCTGCCAGCAGTGAGGCAGATAAGGCGACGGGCAAAAAGGTGTGTTGCTGAACCCAATAATGTTAATTATAGGCAAAGAAAACACCGACCATGTTTAATTTTTTTAATGTTACGACTACAAATTGTAAACATAAGTTTAAAAATGCTCTTTAGGAATTTTAGTTACTTTTTGTATTTATAATTTTACCTAGCATAAGAAGCATGTAGTTTTTCTATTCATACGAATCTATTTACCATTCGCAGGGTCTGGTGGACTACGAGAGTGATTCTGGCGAAGATGACTACGAGGAGGACGAGGACTCCGAGGGGCCACAAGCACAAAAGCGCGCACGTCTGGCATAGTTGGCAGATGATGAATACAGCGGCATCAATTATAAATTAGTACACACATAACAGAACACAACCAACCACGGCATACAACAAACAACAAGCAACACACAGACCCCCAACACACACACCAACGAATGTTAGGATCGCATTGGCGGCAACGACAGGACAGCACAGCAGACAGCCGTACGATGTAAGATCGAACAAGAAAGCATACAATTAAATTTTAGCATAAAATTTATTTTAAAGGAGGAGCAAACAACACCTAAAGTAAACGAGAAATTATAAATCTTACTTTACTAAATTAAATAACTACATATAAATATATATATTCAAATATATATGCATATGAAAACACAGCTAACTATAAATGATCAGCATCCACAGGCAGAGATGCAAACGAGTGCGTGTTGTTCGCGAGTTGGCAAAGCATTAACGAAACAAACCAAAATAAAATGTATTTAGTAGTTAAATCCCACACAAGAGAAACGCAGCAAAAAGGAAGAGGAGGAGGAGGTGCCGTCAGGTGGTGGAGGACATTTGTACACAGGCAACATCCATTCGCAATGTCCCTAGTATATCAGCAGTTAACAGATCCTGTGAAGTTGGCTGCCGGCTTAGAATGTCGGTATTAGAAGGACAATTAATAAAATTGTGTCTTGCGCCTAGCTTAGTTGTAATGCTTAGAGTTAATCACTTTTACTATCATTACCTATGAGAACGATTTCCTGCCAATTGCACCACTATCACTCGTAGCGCTGTTTTCAACTGACAATTTGAGTAAACACTTCTTATCGCAAAAGCCTTTATAAAAGTTTCTATTGCAAACAGCGCTGTAACATCTTAAGCAACGTACATCTGTGTTATGTTATTAAATTTTAAATTTTGAACTATTCCCAAAACAGTAAAATTTGTATTAATATTTTTTTTGTTTAATTGTTTTTTGAATACCAACCAAAAGCCATGGTTGCCAACTTGACAAAAGCTGTTAATCCCTTGAGTTAGACGCAGATAACACTTGAACCCAATGAACCTTGTATATAATTTAGTCAGTCTCAATACGCGATTAGTTGATAACTGCCCTAGCACCACTGACGCCCACATTAAGCCCAAACAATTGATCTTGAAGGAATCGAAGGTTTTGCACATTATCGAGCAGATTTAAATTCAAACTCTTGTGGGTGATAACTTGAGAAGCGTTGTCTGACTGTGTAATTAAAAACAATTGTTGCGCTATCCTTGCATTATTGAAACACACTCACCACAAACACATCAATAAATAACTAATTATAATGATAACAAATAGATCGTAAAATAAAACTAAAGTGGGGTAAAGAAACATCAGCAAACAAATAACAATAACGTAAATTAAAATAGTCTCTTGAGTTCTCGTGTAAGTTTTTTTTTTCATATTTAACGTTTAATTTGTATTGAACGACTGTAGGTGGGCTCACTTGGAACCACACCACTCCACCCACAAACGCATAAATACGTTCGCCCACGCTATAACCAATCTACATCCCACAACCACAATGACAGAAAGTAATAAAGTTATTTGTTAATAATCGTATTTGCCATGTGCGTTGCGTACTGTACTACATTTATTTATTTTAGTGTTTAAAAGAACTTGTCACTGCAAACGGTTTCCCTTGAGCAACCGATCGTTTGTTCCTCTCCCGAAGCCCACGATCTTAAGAATACACCCATGATAAAGCCGCGGAGAACGTATCCATACATATATCCTTCCAAGTTGATGTTTTGTTTGATTGATTGAGCAACATTAACAAGACGCATTCGCAAAGTGCATGAACAAGAATGATGAATAAAAATAAAGAAAATGATAATGAAAACTAAACGTAAACGTAAAGCGACAACACTATAGTTTATACATAGTATTTATATGAATCGTGTATTGTATATGATATGCTGTCTAATCCCTAATCCTAACACATACCCATTACATCTATAATTTGAATACTTTATTTAGTTGTTTAAACATCCGTGCGTAAAATGCGATATATATAACTCTATATTATTATTATGAGTAAATTAAATAATAGTTTTTAATAGTTTTTAAACAGAATCAAATGGCTAAGCTCTCAAAGTGTTCTTTTATTTACTATATATGAAACACCTGATTGTCAGGTGTCGGGTGGTTTTTCACTGTCATGGTAACCGATTCAAGGACCAAACAAATGTTTCCTGCAAATGTTGACTAAACTTTTCGGTTTAGTCACTTCTTTGAACTGTAACCAAAATGTCGGTGGAAGACTCCTGGGTTTTTGATTCACTGGTGTGCTTTTTGCACGGACCCATCTGGAATGCTCCGCTCCAGACTTTTATCGAGCAAAAGTCCTTAGGTGAGAACCCAATCCAACAATGGAACCGTCAATAACCCAAGGATTTGGTGCAGTCTTCGATCCCAATCTGCCGATGGATGAGAACAATCCAGACATACTTCAGATCCACGAGGAATACAAGAATCTGGTGGATTATATGCTGGGCAGCTTTATGGAGGAGATGCAGATATCGCCGGAGCAGTTCGAAATGGCCTGTCTCGAGGGTCGTCAGCAGGGGCAGGGCGAGAATCCCTTCCAGTTCCACCAAGTGCTGTTCCAGCAGGTACGTCCGGTAGCAGTCTTGAACGCAATAGTGTTCTCGAGGTGTCATCTTTCAGATATGGGCCGCCAACGACATCAAGATATTCATACGCATGATGACGCAACGTAACGTGGAACTTCAGCTACAGGCCCTGGATCTCATCGAGAAAAATCAATTAGCCCAAAGTACCGCCGACGAGGGGGATGACCGCAGTGCGGACGCGAGCTCGGATCCAGGGTGGGTTTACGGTGGTTCCCCGTCAATAAACCTGTCTTATGCAATTGCGGGGGAAGTTCTATATGGTTTTGCACAGTGCCAAAACGTTTTAGATATATTTATTAGACTCATTTTGTTCTAGTTTGTCTAGGTTGTTCCTATATAGTTTCGGAATCTATTTCTGATTTTAAATTAACTCAAAAACTGTAACTGGTCAAATTTTAAACGATTTTGATTTGTTTTTGCTAAATATATTATTCTCTTCAGTAGGATTTAGTCGCACTTACCATCTATACAAAGTAAGAATCTTAAAAAAGCATTCGACTACACGTTGAACATCTTATTCTTAATTTTTGCCAAGTCCTAATACATAATACTTTCCACAGTGATACCGCCTCCGAGGTGGAACAACTCATAGCCAAGACGGTGGCCGACGAATTGGAGAGTCCGGAAGCGGCTCTTACTCCAGAGCAGGAGCCCAATATGGAACTGGTTAATGACAAGTTTCAGCGGCTGAATCTGTTCTTCGAGCAGGAGGATCATGTGGACCCCAGCGACGTGGTCTCGCGACAGGAGTATCTGCGCCAGCAACGCGACAAGATCGTGGAGATTAAGAAGCAGACGCGGGCCAAGCAACTGCAGGAGACCATGTCTCGCGGTACTCCGCATGCACCGGAGGGAGCTCGACCCAGCTCCGCATTAGTGGCCCAACAGCTGCTAGAGAATGGCGGCCAGACCAAGGAGCTCTCGATGCCAGCTCCCCTAGAGGCCGAGGAGAACGCTGCCCTCCAACTCAGACGCAACCTGGCCAAGCGCTTGCGGAGCGAAGTGGTGGAACAGAAGTGAAAGGCAGGACACACTACTATTCTCTACTATTCCCATTTATTGCAGATGCTCAGCCAGATTTAACAACGTGCAAAAAGTATTGCGACATGCAGACTAGTTCGTTTGGTGGATGCACAGGGTGTGTCATATGTTGTACTTGTCTCGTCTCCACTCGTCCATGTCCACACACAATCAATCCAGAATGAAAGGTGGATTGTGTGTGGACATGGTCAAGGGAATCTCTAAAAATTTCCATTAAGCTTTTTCTCAAAATAAACATATTGCTAGTGAAGTGTTTCCCAAAAACATTGTGTTGATTGCTCTTCTATGTTGGTATGCGATCCCCGCAAGTATGACATAATGGCATCGGTGCCCTTCATCAGGATCTGATGGCGGGGCTGGCGAAAAGGATTGCCCACCAGTTCCAAGTGACTGAAATTTAAAAAGGAAATATATTTGGTCATACGAGTATTAATTTCCAATCTGGTTCTTACGTTATGTTGGTCAGGTTCCCCAATGTGGGCGGCACTGTATCAATATCATTATTGCGCAAATCCAATGTACTAAGACGTGGCATGCTCTGCAGACCCGAAACATTTAGTGTTTTGATGTGGTTCTCACTGGCAATGAGGATTTCTAGACCTTGCAACTCGTACACACAGTTGGGAATGAACTGGAAACTGAGAATTCAAAAAGAAGAAGATAATCAAATGACCCTAGAGGATATTTTCATATGATAAACTTGTACTCACCGATTGTTGGCAATGTTGAGTTCCCGCAGAGTGTTTAAAACACCAAACTCCTTGGGCAGGTCATTCAACAGATTGTTGGACAAATTCAGGAAAGAAATACGTGTAAACTGGGAGATAAACTGGGGAACATAGCCGATAACATTATTGGATAGAACCAGCTCCGTGACCAGATCATGCATAAGCTGCAGTCTGAAAGTAATTGAATATTACATGACTAAACCATGGGATCCTGTGAGTTATTTATGGCCTACCCATTGGGCAAGGTGCTCAGCTGGTTGCGCGCAAAGTCCACCACATGCACTCCTTCATCTCTGGCAATCTGGAACACCTGGTCGGGCACTTGAGTCAGATCCTCCAGGTTGACAGCTAATGTACGTGTATGACGTAATTTGTATCTACAGGAGGGAGGAAAGATTGAAGTAAGCATTAAGATTGCCAGAATCTACAAGATGTGATTAATAGGAATTGTGTAATTTTTGGAACTTGGTGATACACTACACCCAACGTGGATGGACAGCTAAGTGAGGGGAATCATGCTGCCCATAGGAAAACTGCGTATGTTGCTGCTGCTGGCACATAAAGTAATTTGGATGGGGATATTCTAGCCGCTGATGTTGCATGAAAAGCGATCTCATGTTGCCAATTTGATGCTGCTGCTGACAGCTCTCAGGCTCATAAATGTGTCCCTGCGTCTGGCGATCATATTCCTGGCAATTCCTGAGCGGTTCATATACACAACAGTGCTGCTGCATTTGCTGCTGACATGGATATGGACACTGATATTGGTACCCATCCTGCTGCTGTTGTTGATGGTAGCTACTGCTGGGGAGATCAATGTGCTGTCCCTTCTGAAAGAAAAGCTCTATATGCATACCTATCCGGAAAGTTGCCGGGCATATCCCCAGAGTCCGATTGGCCACCACGCAAACGGGTAACACTGATGCCAGGTAAATCTGATGTAAAGCCGCCATCGGAGCCACCTCCCTCCTCCTTGGCCTTGGCCAGCGCTCTCTCGTGCAGCGTCTTCAAAATCCGCGTCGTTCCACACTGCAGGATGTCGCGTCGGATCATCTTTATGGGATTTCCCTCCACCTGCAGGCTGATCAGGTGGGCCAAAGAGGACAATGTGACTGGCAACACACTGATCGTATTGTTGGACAAATCCAGGCGGTTCAGATTGCGCAGCAGGCACAGCTCGTCGGGCAGCTCTGTGATCTTGTTGTCCCTCAAATCGAGTATCTTCAAATGTGGCAAGTTGCCGCACATGGCTTTTGGTATGGTCTGAAATGGGTGTTATTGAATATAAGTATCTCAAAAGTCTTAGAATAACTTAGATAACTATGATATTAGTACTATAACTTACCTTTATAAAATTATTGCTGGCATGCAATTCGCTCAAGGTCTCATTTCCCTCGAACTCGGGCAGCTCCAAAATATCGTTGTGCTGCAGATAAAGGCATTCCAGCTTCCTCAGTAGACCCATATCTTCCGGCAAGCTGGTCAGGTCATTTTGCATCAAATCAATCTTTTGCAGAGCTAAACACACGCAAACTTAGATTAGCAAGTATTTGAGGTGGACCAGCACTTACAGCGCATGTTAACAAGATCGGGGGGCAGTTCCTTGATGTGATTGTAGGGCAACAGGAGCGCAGTTAGACGCACCAGGAACCCAATGCCACCAGGCAGGGATTGAATGTTGTTATGCCCGCCGTCCTTTCGTTACAATTTGGTTAGCAAGCAGTTGGTTAAGGGAGAATATATAGGATGGTATTAGTCAGATAAGACGCCACAACCAGAATTATGTGTGTTACTAAATTTCTATTAAAATAACTTTTTGTTCATCCATTTTTAAAATATTTAAATATATAAAGGATGATTATGCTTAAAATTATAATAGGACGTAAAACGAAAAACTATCATTTCCACGAATTTAAATTATATTTTTAACTTATAGTTCCATATCCTGATTAATGTAAGATTTTAGTGTTATGTGTAGTTTATACATATATATTTTTTTTTAGGATTTAGAATTTCTTTCACCTAACTCACCAGAAACTCGAGCATATGAAGGTCACTGATGTCCGGATCGACTTCGTTAAACTCATTGTACGAAATGTTGAGGTGTCGCAGCTCAGGTAGACTGTAGATCGAACGGGGCAGCTGGCTGAGCTTGTTGTGGCTCACATTGAGGCGCATTAGCTTTTCCAACTTCCCGATTTCCGAGGGAAGCTCCACCAGAGCATTATCATGCAACTAAAAAATGTTTTTAATAAATCCTCATAACTTCTAATAAATAATAATATCATACAGTAAGAACAGTCAACGACTGCAGGTTCTCGATCTTGGGAGATATGTGCGTTAGCGTATTGGAGCTCAGGTCCAGGTTGTTTAATGGCACTTGGTTCCACCAGGCGTCCTCCTCCTTGATTGTCAGTTGTTCCAGATTCGCGGTCTTGCTCTCCGTATCCGCCTCGTTGATGTCGTAGAGTCGTTCGGGCACTGAAATGATAAGATGTGGAATCAATTAGAGAACGCTGATCCGGGGAAAACACTACACTACAGTCTTCAACGCGGGACGGAGGCTCTGGATCATCATCCAGCTCCAGCTCATCGTCCGGATCCTCGCTCTCCAGCTCGTCCGCCGAGGAGGCCATCTGGAATTCGCGGATCTGGTAGTAGCGTCGCCTCCGCGGATAAGGACCGCACATGCAGAACGAGGTGAGCTGTTTCCTGGAGGACGCAATCTTGGGAGATTGGATAGTTGGATGCAGTCACACAACCGATGTCGTTCAGCTCACTGGGCTGATTGAACCGAGCGATGACTGGTTCGTGGACGCACCCCTGGAGCACCTTTATGGATTGTCTCGAGGTGCGGATGCTGTCCAGTGAAGCGGCAAATATGTTCTCTGCCTTTTTCAGTTGCCTCCAAGGTCAAGTTCGCGATCACTATTGCTATTACCTCACATGAACTGGAACCACAAGGCGCTGCTGTCGATGAGGCCGGGGCTCCATTGATGATGACACCCCTCCTGAGTCATGCCTGGCCTGACCTTGGACTTCCAGCGACGCAGTTGCTCCTGGGTCACCACTGCTTACAAGTCCCTCAATGTATGTAGCTAGCTACTTTTAAGTGGATAAAGGTAGTCGGAACTCTGTGACTCCCATCTTTGAGATGTTATACTTTTGAAGGTATTTTAAAGTTTATCTTCTGCAAATTCATTTACGTTTTGAAGCAAGAACCACTTAAATCCTAATATAAAGGGCGAATTTTCTTTAGTTAGGTCAAACAAAATTAAATATCAATATATGTAAAGGTAAATATATAGATAAATACTTTATTTGGTTGATCTTACATTTTCCTAATTATTTTTTGGAGGATAAAGGTATGTTTAAAAAATTTTTTTTATAGAATTTCTTAATATGGCTCCTATTAAACATATTTATATAACAATGTTAAATTGTTAAAAGAAATCTTTCCTATAAAGTGAAAATTAAGGTAGGGTTTCATAAAAAATAACGCTCGAATTTGAATAAATAATTTAACGGATTCTTGAAGTTCAAGTTACAGAGTTTCGACTACATTATTAATTCTTCCCCGTGGACTCACCTCTGGCCAAAGCCTTGTTGGAGAGATTCAGAGTGCCCGACTTGCGGGCCAGCTTCCACAACTGCTGGGTGAGCACCTGGTCGTCCTCGTTGTTGCTCCTCTCGTGGAAGATGGGGCGAAAGGAGTAATTTGGCCTGGGCGAGTGCGCCGCGGGGGGCGTTTGGCGAGGACTCGGGGCGCAGCGGGGGATCCTGCTGGCGGAGGAGTTGACCCTGGCGGAGGGCCGACCTCGTCCACGGCCTGTCCCGTCGCTCATTTCGCTGGGGCAGCCGTAGTGGGTGAAGCAGGAGTGGCCAAAGTCGAAGTCGCCGCCGAACGCGGAGGCCTGGTCACATTCCTGGGCTCCGTGGAACAAGCTGAACTCCACGCCCTGCGAATCGCTGAAGCTGGCGGGGATCACGGGTTAAATGGGGTCAGTGGAACGCTAAATAGCCACCGAATCACAGGTGTATTCGGTTTTTGTTAATTTTTGCGTCGTTTTATTTTGGTCACTGTCAGCCGTCAGCTGTTCGCTGCGCGTTTTCCAACACTAAACGGTGTGTGCAATTCGTTGTCAACGGTAATTATTTTTAAATCACCAACGGCCGTTACTTTATAATAAACTTAAATTGTTTTAGTTCTAAAACCGATTTTGGCTGTCCTTAAAAAAAAAGTTAAAAAAAGTTAGTAAATTAAAAGATTAAATAGCTTTTGGTGCACCTATAAAATGAATTAAATTTATTCAAAAAACAAATTTATAAATTCTATTAAATTATGTTGTAAAAGGGAATATAAATGTATATTTTACTTACATAAGTTTACTAAAACTTAGTGTGCTTCTAAATTTATTAAATTTTTTAAAAAGTGGTTAAATTTATAAATTTTACAACTTAAAAAATGTATGGAAAACTAAATTTAACATTTTTCTCGTTAAAAGCATTTTTTTTTTTAAATATACCTATACCATTTTCCTTAAAATATATGTACCTCTTTTACATACGATTTTGAAGACACCAATTAAAATTTCTAGCCACAGCTGCTTGGGACTTAGAATTGAAATCAATTTGCTACCCCAAGAAGCGGCAGCGTTTGAGAATAGTGCACCTGCTCAGTCACATATGTATTTCCTATGCATCTGAATAAATAGCAATAGAGCAATACGTCCCCCAGAACCGTAATTGATTTGATCGTGAACTTAAGTCTGTGCTGGGGGTGTGCAATCCGCAATCCACAAGCAGATTAAAAGCTTAGGTTAAGTCGGTACTTACTTCATCATCTTGTTGGGGACCCGTTTTCCTATCTGTTTGGCTTCTGCTTCTGCGGGAGATACAAGATACCCAGTTACTTTGGCGCAAGGTCAGTCGCAAAAGTCAGTCAGTGGGGTGTATTAGATTTCCCTGTTCGACGTGGGTGCCCACCACAAAATGTTGGTTAGTATTAGGTACATATATAGTACACCCTCTAGAGCACTCAAACCCCCCTGAAAATATGGTGGCTCGCCGAAGCGGCAAAAATGCTGAGCCACTTGTCTTTGCGCCATGCCCATTGCAATGGGCCTCAGTCTGTCGTCAATGGGCATATTCCAGCGGCGTGGCCACGTCGACTGTCAATCAAAATTATGAATAATGCCGGGTCGGTTGCCTCCAATTGGCCGCCTTCGCCGTCCACATGGGCCATCCACATCCATCCATCCCCTACCCAAAGTGACTAGGTGCCAGACCCGTGGAGCACTTGCCAGTTGTCATTCGGTTCTCATTGCAAGCGGACCGACCAAATGAACTCGGTTTTGGTTTCGGTTCTGGTCTACTACTATTGCATCACTCACAGTTTGGACTAACTACCCTAGAAGATCCCCGACTCACACTTGGAATATCCACGCAATGGCAGCCGGCGTCTTCAAGAGCTTTATGCGCGACTTCTTTTCGGTCGGTTGATGGACAAGTCATCCAAGTGGGGACCCAATTTCAAACTAAAGAATTTTTCAAAATTTTACCAAGGCTTCCAAAAATTACCGAAAGCTTGCTGACAGAATTTCAAATGAAACCTAGGGGAAAGAAGTGACTTAAGCAAAAACTTAGCAATCATAAAAATATTAGTCTTAAAGTTTAAAAGGCCAATTTGTTTTTTAAAAACCCTTTTCAAAAAATTATTTTTAAAAAACAATCTGGATTTAAAATTTTAAGACTACTATTATTTATTTATTGCTAAAATTTGGAGGTCATTCGGGTTTAATTAGATAATTCAGTTAGAAAGTTTCCAACTTGTCTGTTAAAAGGAAATCACTTATTATTAGATTATCCATTTTTAAATACCTTAAAAAAATTCTGGAATTAAACCAGAAAATTTTAGTTAGTAAAAACTGTAGTCGAGACCCCAAGTCGAGGTCCTTGAGAACGGTTCCAGCTGATGATATGTTTGGAATGTGGGAAATCGGCCCACATACCGACTGGATAATCCCTGCTAATCCACGGCAAAAGTGCAGCTGGCTTAGGGGGCTTAATCAAGGCAGAGAAAAGCGTTAAGAGCAGTCTGCCTTTTCTTGCAGGTAAAATACGACGACCAGTTAAATGATCCCCAATCGGAGCGACTAGATGCCAATGGACGCCACTATCCCAATTGCTCCTCGGATGTTTGGTTGCGATCCTGCGAGCGGGAGATAGTGGATCCCATCGAGGGTCATCACAGTGGACACATCCCACGATGGATTAGCGGCAGTCTGCTGAGGAATGGACCCGGCAGCTGGAAGGTGGGCGACATGACCTTTGGCCATCTCTTCGACTGCTCGGCGCTGCTGCATCGATTTGCCATTAAAAATGGACGTGTTACCTACCAGAATCGATTTGTGGATACGGAAACCCTGCGAAAGAATCGTTCAGCCCAACGGATTGTGGTCACTGAGTTTGGAACGGCAGCTGTTCCAGATCCCTGTCACTCAATCTTCGATCGATTTGCGGCCATATTTCGACCCGACAGTGGGACGGACAATTCAATGATTTCCATATACCCCTTTGGGGATCAGTATTACACATTCACCGAGACGCCCTTTATGCATCGGTAAGTTAAGCTTTGTTTTAAGCGAAATGAAAAGGGAAAAATATATTAGAAAAAAAGGTGGGGTTTGAACGACCACTAGTCCACAAGAGACCTTTTGATCTTATAAGATTCTCTTAACAGATTCGCAAAATTATCAATTAAAAAGCTTTAACATAAAAAGTTTTGTATTGGTTTTATGGCCTTTTAGTTAATTGTTTATTAAAGTTTAAAGACAAATGATTTATGTTCATACTTATATTAGAAAAAGTAATGGCATTAATAATGTGCGGAAAGGAGTGGTTTTATTTTTAAAACAAAGAAAGGTGGTGTTAGTCCGACCAGCCCATAACAGTTTTAAACACTTTTCTTCTTATTATATTAATATTTTAGAATAAATCCCTGTACTTTGGCCACCGAGGCGCGTATCTGCGCCACGGACTTTGTGGGCGTGGTGAACCACACCTCGCATCCGCACATCATGCCCAGCGGCACCGTTTACAACCTGGGCACCACAATGACCAGATCTGGACCGGCTTACACCATCCTCTGTTTTCCCCATGGTCGTCAGATGTTCGAGGATGCTCATGTGGTGGCCACACTGCCTTGTCGATGGAAGCTGCATCCCGGTTATATGCACACCTTCGGCCGGACGGATCACTTCTTTGTGATTGTGGAACAACCGCTGTCCGTTTCCCTGCCGGAGTACATAAAATCCCAGCTTAATGGCCAGAACATGTCGGCATGCCTCAAGTGGTTTGAGGATCGGCCGACGCTCTTTCACCTTATAGACAGGGTGTCAGGGAAGCTGGTGCAGACCTATGAATCGGAGGCCTTCTTCTACCTGCACATCATCAACTGCTTTGAACAGGATGGTCATGTGGTGGTGGACATTTGCAGCTACAGGAATCCCGAGATGATCAACTGCATGTATTTGGAGGCCATTGCCAATATGCAAACGAATCCCAACTATGCTACCCTCTTCCGGGGACGTCCTTTGAGATTTGTTCTGCCCTTGGGCACAATACCCAAGCCTCAGAATTCCGGAAAAAGGGCTTTGGTCAAGTCTTTCTCCCTGGCTGGTCTGAGTTCTCCTCCGATTTCCCGAACCATGAAGCACTCGGTTTCGCAGTATGCGGATATTACATACATGCCCACTAATGGCAAGCAGGAGAATCTAGGGGAAGAAAGCCCCAAGAGATATGCCAAGAAGGGTCGCTATGAAGAGGAGAACCTGATTAACCTGGTGACCTTGGAGGGCAGCCAGGCGGAGGCTTTCCAGGGTACTGATGCAATCTCCCTGCGTCCGGAAATGCTCTGCGATTGGGGCTGCGAGACACCCAGGATCTTTTACGAACGGTATATGGGCAAAAACTACCGATACTTTTACGCCATCAGTTCGGATGTAGATGCAGAGAACCCAGGAACTGTAAGTACTTTGGAGATTTCTTAGTTATATCTACACCCAGAAAAAACACCTTTCCTAAAAGCGTTTTCTTTATATCAAAAGTCAGCCAAGATCAATTCAATCTCAAAATCTCAGCATTAAGATAAAGGAAAACAATATCGACAATATTTTCATCTCTACAAACAAATTCAAGAGTAATTTCGTCTTGATACGACGTTTGTCATTAACTAACTGAGAAGATGAGTTCTTAAATTGAGAACATTTGATCTTGGCTCGTTTCCATTTTCGATTTCCCGTTCGTATTACGATTCTTAAGACATAAACATTATATAAACATTTTTGTATATTTTTACAGCTCATCAAAGTGGATGTATGGAACAAAACCAGTATTACCTGGTGTGAAGACAACGTGTATCCCAGTGAGCCCATCTTTGTGCCCTCACCAGATCCCCAATCCGAGGACGATGGTGTCATCCTGGCCTCTATGGTTATAGGCGGTGGCCTTAACGATTGCTATGTGGGCCTGATTGTGCTGTGTGCCAAAACCATGACCGAGTTGGGTCGTTGTGATTTCCACACCAACGGACCCGTTCCCAAGTGCCTCCACGGATGGTTTGCCCCTAATGCCATTTAGATTCTTAGCTTACTGTTTATATGGGAAGAACCCCGACAAAGATCATATGACTTAAGAGATAGGTCCCAGTATTACTCTTAGAACTAGACTAGTGACTTTTGTATTGACTCAAAACTTTGGATTCAAGGTATTTGCAATAAACTCCTGCCACTTCCGCTGGAACACCCGATTGATCTTGCGCCGTTCATCCGAGGTGAGCACTGCGTATTTGATGGAGTTCAGGGCCAGCTGTTTAAGGAATCGCAAATCAGCTTCCGCCGGAGCCAAGGCCATAAAGGCGTAGTAAAAGTCGTAACTAAGACCCTTGGCACCCCAGACACCCGGATCATCGGAGGATATTACGATGGGGAAGTTCTCCGCTATCAGAAAGCTGGCCGGATGATTCCGCAGATCCCAAACGAAGCCCAGAACTTGGTTGGAAATGGGATTCACCTCGATGGCGATGTTACGCTTCTTGATGGTGGACCACAGTTGTGGATGTTTGGGCAGGGCAAAGGCGTGTCCGATTCGCTTCGTATTCAGCAGAATGGCGTCCATCATGTTCCAGTCCGTACGCCCATTCCAATCTGGGGGTTATGTTTTGTTATTAACGGAGGATAATATTATCTATATAACATACTTGTCTCGCCGGCGTGGAAGAAGTAGTTGGCCGTGCTGGGAAGATCGGACAGTTGATTCATATATTTGTTCAACGGGTCCCCTGTGTCCTCCTGACCAATTAGATCGAATCCAATCACAAAGTTTGGCTTAGCATGACTATGAAAAATGATAATACATTAAAAATATAAATACACCATAAAACAAAAAATTTAATTCATGAGAGCAAAAGGAACAAATGTTAGTTGAATGAACTATCAAAAGATATTTCTCTTTATAAGGGATGGTTAATACATACTAAAGGATGGTAACAAATACTAAACGGTATTCGTAAATAACATATACATATTTGTTATATTTTGCTAATTGTTAGTATATAATATGCATTATCAAGATAAAAACAGTTATTATATTAAAACTTAATATTGTACTTACTGTAGTTGCTTAAAAGTGGTTATGCGCCTCAACATCTCTTCCTCGGAGGCCTTATTGCGCTTGGCATATATCACTTTGACACCCACAAAGTCATGGTGCTTGGCCTTGAACTCCTCCACAATCCGTTCCAGTTCGTTGGCCACCTCCAAAGTACTAAGAGTGCGATTATTTTCGTCGTAGAGCTGAAAGAATATTATTATCAAAATGATTAAAGGATGAAATGTTTTATAAGATGGCATAAAAGGTTGGCAATTTGTTCCTTTATAACAATTACTTACAGGCGACAGGGAGGCTCTGATCTCAGCATAGATGATGTTATCCTCGCACAGCTCCTCCAGCAGGCGTTTGTGAAAGGCGCAATAGGTCGGTCGGTGTTTGTAGAGCCGATCCACTGTGGTGAAGATATTCTCAAAGCGCTCCCATATCTTTTTGCGGTTCGGCAACAGGGCTAGGTAATGAAAATGTTAAAATAAAATAAATTTAAATATAATATCCCTACCTTCCGGCCTGGGACCGTGCATATTGATGTGCTTCTCCAGCTGGCGCTCGTATTTGCCCCGATCCTCGGCATTTATCCGCTCGGTGCACACATTCTGAACCTCGCTGTGGCAACCGGACTTATCGTAGGTGAACACCAGGAGTCCATCCGGATTACGGCAGGTGTACAGGTTGTTCGTAGTGGTCAGGTTCTGGATGATCCACCGGGAGGTCACCATTCCCGTATTATGTCCGTGCAGAAAGGCACCCTTCGGCATCTTCTGGATCATCCGGAAGACCTCGCTCTGGCGAACGTATTGCCTGCCCTGGAAGAAGTGCATTGCCGGGGCGTACTTCTCTGGGGTCTTGAGGCCCTCGGCGATCTCCGCCCGCTTGGCGTTCATCAGGATGCTGTTGACCTTCTCCTCGTCGGAAGTCAACCAGATGCTGCCCCCCAGGGAGGCCGCCCGCTCCGCTTCCATAATCTGCTCCCGTAGAGTCTCATAGGCTATCGGAAGTGAAAATGTTCTTTTAAAATCCTGTTTTCAAATTTTATTGTTGGGAATTTTAGTATAATACACTTTTGTAAGCTTTGATTATTCCCTGATTTCGTTTTTAGGATCCACATACATGGATGCTGCTTTTAATTTTCGCTTGTGTGTTGTTTGTTTACACATTTGATTCAGTGATAAGTTTATAGTACAGTAAAATAAATAGAATAAACTCAAAACAGAATTTATATATTATTTCGTTAGATTTATTATGCTTGTTTATGAGTCATTATTTATTAAGCTTAGGAGACTTTTTTATGAAAGTACGCCTTCTCAGAACTAAATATTTTAGATCTGTTAGTCAAAAACTATTAAAAATAAGGATTCTTATCACAGAAACTGTGAAGTCTTAGAATTGCACACAACCTTATGATAAGAGAATACGATGTTTGGAATTATTTATTTAAAAATATTATTTATGCCTTGATGAAAAATGAATAGTCGGAAAATCCTTCGAGACTTACGTTGGTCGGCGGCCTGAAGTCCGCCCAGGAAAACAAAGGCGACCAAAACTTCCAGTAGCAGCATTGCCTTCCAGTAATCTCAGTTCCGCTTTCAGAATATACGCCGCACTTTTTCGATCCACGTCTCTTGGCGATCGTAAACCAACTGATAGGGCCTCCCGCTTAAAAAACTGACCCGTATACGGCTTGTGCAATTTCCACACTGATCATGATCTTGGTCGCTGTGGGAGCAGCGGCATCTGGTGCAGTGGTTCAATGGCGGGGATTAGTCCGCTCTGGAATGGGGCGCGAAATGTTTGAATGCCCCCGGGTTGGCACTTTCGTTGACACTGGCCCCTCGGCCAATTTGCAAATAAATTTCGTGACGTAGCATGGCCAGTGCCAAAATGCCCTACGCAAACACGATCCTACCTAAAAATAAATATCCAGTCAGAAATATTATATATTTTATTTAAATGCATTACTACTACATATAGCGCATCACCAGGAACGCTACAGCCGGACATTTATGCTGCTATCAGCTATATTTGTATACATATGATGTAAATACATTGGGTTCGTGGGTATATTTTTGCATATTGTTGACTAACCCAATTTGCTCTGTTTACCCGCCGAAATTATACTTGACATTGAACGTGAAATGGGGGCATCAGGCCATCGATCATAAAAGAGAAATCTACTGGAAATGTAATCCAACTCATGAGAATTTTTTAAAAATAATAATAATATGTTTGCATATATTATGTATATGGGGTCTGTCTGTATATGCATGTTGTTTACTAAATAAAATGGGATTCATAAAAAAGCTTCTACAAATTGGAACCTTTTTTTTACTTAAAAGTTGACACATCTATCAAAGTATCTCCTAGCTTTAAAAATATATATATTTAAGCTAATGTTCTATTGTATAACTCATTAAAACGATGTGGTTTTCGAGGAAAGTATATATTTGTGTACAAGATTATTTCCTTATCAAACCAAAACATGTTTTTATAATTGAAATCAAATTTTACTTATCAATGACAAAGAGAGCTTAATGACGATACCCTGTTTTCAAAGCTACAATCTACAATTTAGAACGAAACAAACCAAATAAACATTACATTACATTAATAATACAAATTGCATTTGTCAACAAACTTTTTGGTGTGTAAGCGAGGATAATTGACACATCTGTAATTACCGTAATTGTCATGAGCATCCAGACCACTTTATAGGGCTGGGGGCTCTAGGAACTTGTAATTCCGTCGTCGTATGCTGTTAGAAACCAACAACCGCGTCCGTCAACGTCAGTGAAAATTTGCCAAAATAGAAAAATTCAAATAGTTAAAAATCAGCGAGCGGCCAGCGGGCGCGCGCCTTCGTCATTTTAAATCACTTAATATGCGCGGGAGGCCTTTAATCAGATAGATATATAAAAAAGATACCCAAACAATCCAGCTACTAGAATGAAATTGTTTCGGCAATTCCGAGCCCGGGAGCGTTGTCAACCGTTAAGAGTCGCGGAGGGTGCTGGCCCCGGCTCCACCTCTGGCATAATCTTTTAATGAGCAAGCTTCGCGAAATGATTTTATCAAAATTATAGTTTGTTTTTGCTTTTCTTGGTCGGCACAGCCATAGTTTGAACACCCGCTTTCGGCGATGGTATCCACAGTTCTATCCGGACACTTCGGGCGAGCGGTCGCAAAAAGAGAAAACGATTCCCCACCCAAATTCCCGAGTCAATAATAATAATAAGTCAACGTGACGCGGAGTCGAGTCAATATTTGGATAGTAAACTCATTAGCAGCTAAACAGGACTAACACATTTATCGGGCAATCAGTAAAAGGACTTCAACATGATGAGGATATGGCTGTTTTTTCTAGTGATACGGATTTCACAACTTCAGATCCAAGCGCAAACCGCTCTAAGTATTATATATCGAATTAAACATTCAGTTCTAGAATCTTTAAATGGTTTAATTTGTAATTTATTAATCGATCCTTTGTGTTTTGAAACATAAAACTTGATCCATTCACAAACGAGCCAAAAATATTTTGTGAGATTTGTTGAATAAAAGATTAAAAATGGTAATTCATTCCATATTCTTAGGCTACGAACAAGCTCGTCAGGCTGTTCTCACAGCAGAGGAGGAACTCATGACTGGAGGACACACATATCTGAACACCCAGGAGGCCAAGGTGGACGACATATTCATGGAATACAAGCTCGGAGAATTGTCCCAAGGATTTAGAAATGCGGAACAGAATGCAGCAGCTCTGCATTTCTTTAAGGCCAAGCCGCTGATCGATCGGAGTGCTGTCTTCCGGTTCCTTCAGAAGATGCCAAAGGGATCTGTTCTCCATCTGCATAACTCCGCCGCCGTGAGTTCCAGGTGGGTAGTGGACGATTTGTCGTATATGCCTGGATTATTGCGTTGCACCACAGCCAAAGGACGAAGTGTCCTGACATTCCGAAGGACACCAAAGGAGCATAAGTGTCAATCGCAGTACGTTCGAGTCTCCGACGAGCGTCGGAACTCCCTGGATCCCAGGGTCTATGACAAGAATTTCGAACGCCTGATTAACTTATATACTCCAGTTCCAGAGCGTAAGAGTTGAATGATATAATAATATCCCCAGGTATTCAATTTTTTGATCTTACAGTGGAGTACCCTACAATTACCGAGGTTTGGGATCGTTTTCAGGACATGTTCGATGTGCTCGGCGATGCCATAACTTACTTGCCAGCCTTTCGTGCATATCATTGGCAGATGCTCGAGGAACTTTACAACGATAACGTGATGTACGCGGAGATTCGCACTAGTTGCAAAACGGTTAGTAACGTTTTTTTTTTTTTGGTATTTTCATATGACTATATATATAAAATGATTTAATGAAAACATTTTAAATAAGGTCATAGCCGCATTTGGATGGTCGGTCCATATTTCAAGATACAATTTTTTTATAGCTGCAATTTAATTTTATTTTTCGTTTCCTGCTTATAGTTTATGAAATGACAATTACCCTTTCAGAAATATCAGAATACATCCCACAGAGATATGACAAAACAGCGAATAGTTTAATAATATCTTTTATATACTATTTATTAAAGTTTCTTATAGAAATTATTCGTAATCTTTCTTTCATTAGCTTTATGACGCCAGTGGTCGCACTTTTCCCAGAGAGCGTACGATACGCGAGTTGTACAATATAAATGACAAGTTCGTTAAGCTGCACCCCGACTTTTTGGGCTTTAAAGTCATTATGGCTGTTTATCGGGGCTATGAAATGGATAAGCTCAAGGAAACCGTCGAGGAATTTAAGCAGCTGCAGTGAGTAAAGATTACCATATAGGGAATATAAACTTTTACAGACTTTTCACAGCCAAGAATTGCCCCACTTTGTGGTTGGATTCGATTTGGTGGGTCAGGAAGACAAGGGAAAACCACTTTATTCTCTGTTGCCTGCCCTGAGGGATTTGCCGCCAACAGCTCGACTTTTTCTGCACGGAGGAGAGACCAGTAAGTAATACTCCTTTCAGAGGTTTTCTATAGCTTATATTTCATCCAGATTGGTTTGGTGCCTCCACCGACATCAATCTGCTGGATGCCCTGTTGCTCAACACCACTCGCATTGGTCATGGTTATGCTCTGGCCAAGCATCCGATCCTCCTAAATGCTGTCAAGTCTCGACAAATCGCCGTGGAGGTCAGCCCTATTTCAAATCAAGTGCTTCACCTGGTCTGGGATCTCCGTAATCATCCAGGTGCTCAGTATCTAGCCCTCGATGTGCCCGTGGTGATTTGCAACGATGATCCTGGGTTCTGGAATGCCAAGGGCCTGAGCTACGACTTCTACTATGCCATCATGAGTTTGGCGCCAAATAACGCCGGGATAAGGATTCTAAAGACTCTGGTGTGGAACTCGGTGAGGTACTCCACGCTGACGGAGGAGGAACAGACCCGTGCCTTCAAAATCCTGGAGCTCAGTTGGTCGCGGTTCATAGATAAAGTACTTCAAGGCAGCGTATTCTAAGATAACCTAATAATAAATACAAACAATCAAAGTAATAGTGTTTTTGAGTGGTAAATAAATTAATCCTTTAAGACAAACGTGATCATAACGTGGAGATGTGGTGGGTTTCAATGTGGCAGTAGGATTTTGAACACCCGTTTTCGGCAATGATATCCGCAGTACTACTCAGACTTTTTGGGCGAGCGGTTGCTTAAAGGGAGAATAGTTTCTCCTCCAAGTTCTCAAGTTGATACTAATAAGTCAACGTGTCGTAGTGAAGTCAATATTTGAATAGTAAACTCACTAGCAGCTGGACAGGACTAACAAATAAATCGGACAAGCTGTATAAGTACTTAACATAATGAGACGATTATTGGTTTTGCTAGTGCTCTTGATTTCAAAACTTCAGATCCAGTCAAGTAAGAAAACAATAACCAGCCGTATTTATTTAATTTCTTTAATGATTTAAATTGTTGGATATTGTCGCGGCTTCTAACGAATTAACAAAACTTAAAACGTATTGTTTCTAAAATCGATAATCTGATGATATAATTAAGCAAATTGTTAATGTATCTAACCATATCTTTAGGCTACGAACAAGATCCCCAGGCTTTTCTCAAAGCGGAGGCGGAGCTCATGACTGGAGGGCACACACATCTAAACACTGAAGAGGTCAAAGCGGATGAGTTATTTATGGAATTCAAGCTCAAAGAGTTGGGACCTGCGTAATCATCCAGGTGCTCAGTATCTGGCCCTCGCCATGCCAATCGTGCTTTTGAAATACTGGAGCTCAGTTGGTCGCGCTTTATAGAAGAGGTGTTGAACGGCAGCGTTTTCTAAGATTATAGGCCTTTGTGAAAAAAATAAACAACCAAAGTATAGGTGTTTTATAAATGCTACGAGGAGAACGCTTAAAGTGAAAAGATTTATTTAAAAATTGCACTGCTGAGCCACTCAATAAATATTTGCGGATTTAATTTGAACAAAATTAAATGAACAAAATTCAATAAACAAAATTTTTTTAAATTTCTTTTTAGAGTATTTCTTTAAATCTTATTTTCCATCTGCTAAATAATTTTCTACAAAACGTTCGCAGCTTTCCCGAATTTGCAGATATGCAGTATTAAATCCTCCCATTCCTTGACTCTGTAAAAACAAACATTATTTTTAACTCGAGTTACAAAATCCATATCATTTAAATTACAAAATATGGGTCCTGGATGATCTCATCCTCCTTGCGTCCAATATAGCTACCGAGAAGTTCAATCTTGCACTTTGGACTGGGATGAAGTGCAGTTGCCATTTGCTGAAGCTCAATCAGGTTGCTGTTGTCCATGGCGAATATGTAATCGAAGTCGTAAAAGTCTTGGGGAACTATCTGAGCAAAATGAGTTACATATAACAATATGATGAGAGCTTTTAAAGTAACTTGTGTGTACCATGCGACCCAAGTGGTTCGTTTTAAGACCATGTTGTTTAAGCAGTTGTTGGCCACGGGCTTGGGGCTCCTCGTCCACATTCCAATCTCTGAGGCCAGCGCTGTCCACATACCAATCCTGAAGATTTCGTTTTAGTACTAAATGCTTCAGTATGGCCTCGGCCATTGGAGAACGACAGGTGTTTCCTTAAAAAAAGTAAGTCTTTTAATAAGTATGTTGTTTTTAATTGTTGACACTTACCAATGCATACGAACAGAACCTTCATGCTCGCGGAAATGCTGAGAACTGCAAGTTCCGATGACTAATGCAGCTGATTCATTTTATAATATATAAACCGGTTCACGTTTTTATTCAGTTTTATTAGATTACCCTTATCACAAGACATTTACAAATCATTTACTTTAGCAGGCGTTCCTTCATGAAGGCGGCACAGGCCACAACACATTGCTGATAGGCGGTCTCAAAGCCCTCTGCTCCACGCTCCTGAAAGATACAAATATAGGTCAAAAGTACATGTATTGAAAAATAAAGTTTTTGGCTTAGTTTTAAAGCAAATATTATAATTTTTTTCCATTTAGTCTATATTCATAGGTAATAGGCTACTTATTTTTAAAAGACTGTTTCTTCAGAATTTTAAATTTTTCCATACAATACTTATAGGTTGAAAAATCGCACTATGGTCTATCTTTTTATCTTTACATCGCTTGTAGTATTCTTACCAGAGATACCTTGAATTTTAAATTTAAAACCTATTACTATCTATTATCTTTGCATGGCTTGTTTTTTTTTCCCAGAGATACCTTGAAGTATAAATCAAAAGCCTATTACTCTATAATAAAAACCCTTAATCTATTTTAATATCTAATATATGTTTATCTCCTATGAATGTATACATTTTTAGGGTCTCTAGTAATAACACTTATAGACCTCATTAATTTTTAGGGTCTGATCCCTCTCTACTATCACAGCATTGAAGATGTCCATGAACATCAAAGATAAACAAAGATGTAGACTAGATTTTCAAGGTTATCTTACATAGTAGGGATCCTCTATGATGCGGTTCTTTTTGTCCAGCCCAAAATCGCCCAGCATCAGGAGCTCGGCCTTTGAGCCCTTGGGTGCCTGGCGCCTCAGGTCGCTCATATTCTCCTCGTCCATGCCGAAGATGTAGTCAAAGTCCGAGAAGTCCTGCTTTCGGATCTGGCGGACGATGTGGGTGCACTTGAGACCGTGCTTTTCCAGAGTGCTGATGGCCCTGGGATCGGCCCGGTTTCCAACGTGCCAGCCTCCAATGGCCGCACTATCGACCTCCACGTCCTTGACCTTGGCTTTCTCAAGTGTGTCCACCATCACCACCTCCGCAATCGGTGATCGACAGATGTTGCCTACAAGGTCAAAGGTTAAACTCCATAGCTTAATGTACCATTTAAATGAGCTGTCATTCATTACCCAAACAAATCATAAGCACTTTCTTCACCATCTTAAGACAATTTACACGGGTTTACAAACAATTTTGTGTGTTGATTTTTCCGGCTGGTGAGCGAGGGTTCCGAATTTTGCAGCCCTGTTAGTCGCCGGTAGTTGGCAACGCGGGCAATCAGCTGTTGCGTGCCGGAAGGCTTAACCCTCAAGCGGTCGCCGGGGCTGCCTTACTTTATCTGATTCTTTCGCGCCTGTTTCAGGAAATTCTGGCATGCAATTTTGCATTGCTGGTAAATTTTGTCGAAGGAAGCTTCGCCAATATCCTAACGTAGAAAAAGTTGTAAGTGACTAAATGTTTTTTCAAAAATAACAAATATTTAATTTATAAAAATATATATTATGCAAAAATTTAATTGAAACCAATTAATATAGTTAGAGCTATTATTTAATTGATTAAAAAAATTGTCGTAAGCAATATCAATTCTTACAAAAATATTCCTGAAATTAACAATAAATATTTTTAAAGCTATGTCGATACTTTAAAATAATTTTTTTTTTAATGTTTAAGTACGTGTAACTTAGCGAAGTGAATTTAAATTTGGAACCTAAATTAATTGGTGCTATGCCTAACTAATTTTTATAATCAGGGGTGCTGCAGAAATTAATCTTTAGCAAACAAATTCTCGGCCTTACTTTAAAAATCTTATTTTAGAGATAATCCCAGTTTTTCCTTATTTCAAAGGCTTACATAATAGGGATCTTCAATGATTCGATCATCCGGCTTTAGTCCAAAATCCCCCAGAAGAAGCACCTTGGCTGTGGCATAATCCGGAGCCATTCGCTTCAGGGCGGCCAAGTTACTCCGATCCATGCCGAAGATATAGTCGAACTTAAGGAAATCCCCGGGGGTCAGAACTCTGGCATGGCTATAATACTCGATGTTGTTTCTGGCCAGGACATTTAGAGCACGCTCATCCGGCCTGCAGCCGCAGTGCCATCCTTCGATCCCGGCACTCTCCACGTGCCACTCCCCCTGCAGACCCGCCTTTTGGACTACGTCACGCATCACAGCCTCGGCAATTGGGGAGCGGCAAAGGTTGCCTGTGTGTGCAGTCCATTTGCATATTAATTACGAAAATTTCAGGGATATATTATTATTATAAGGAGGTTACGCACCCACGCAGACCATCAGTACGCTCCTCCTCTGCGATCTCTTTCCCATGGCTCACAATTGGATATTTTGGGATTGGCCTTTTGATTCACGAACTCAATTCACTGAGAAATTTGAGAGGACTTGGTAACTCAAGAGTATATGGGTGCGGCTTAGTACAAAAGTGTTCAAAAAATGTGTGAGGAAAGAGTAAGTAGATTGAAATGTAAACTTAACTGGCATTAAAAACAATAAACTAAGTGTTAAAATTCGTTTTCATTTTTTATTAAATATCTGTACGTTTTTGGTATCCCTTGGTTGTATGATATTATGAATTTCCTTCTTATAAGTTAAAAAAGCCAATTCAATTTTTCCCTAAGGTTATAAAGATGTAACTTTATTAAAAAGACTTTAGAACCTGAAGAAAATCATTTTAATAAGGCAATATATTTTATAAGGCAATACATGTTATGAGAAGCCCTTCCTCCCATTGCAAATTACGTTTTATTGAAATAAGTCATATCAATAGTGAAATTCTTAGGATATTTAATACCAATCTAAAGATTTATTTTAAAAGACGAGTTTTCCAAATGGATATGGAGTTTTAATTGACAAGGTGCTGAATTACAGAGGAACCATTACCGAACTACAGTAAACACCTGTGAGGTATAAACAACCTGGGGATTAGCCTGCACTGCATAGTCAGCATTGAGTTTTGGAGCAGACTTTGGCCGTTACACTTTGTCAAGTGGTGCCTGGCTAGAGATCACACCTCTAGCACTTCCACTTCCGGCAGCCTGGTGCATGCACCACATCCTGTTTACCCACCATCCGTATTTACTCCGAAACTCTGACTAAAAACTGCGCTCAAAACAACTTTAACTATTAGCATTTAATTAAAGTTCATTTGCCGGGCCATGGACGAGGTCACTACCACCCACTTCGTCTGGGGGGTACAACTTTTGCCCAGAGGAATGCAGAGGTGATGAGCTCTGGCCTCCGTTTGCAACTGGGTTTTGGATCTGGGTTTGGGTTGACCCATGAATATGCAAGCTGCACCTGCTACTCAAAGGACAGGCTGGTCGTAAAATGCGTAATGACTGTCAGGGAGATGAGTTCTCGGGTTCGGGTGTGAAACTTAAAGCGGATGAGGATGACCAGGTCTCTGGCAGAGAAATAAAGTTGCTTTTTAAATAAATTCGTTTAGAGTTTTATGCAAATTGTACACACACAACCGTCGGGGACAAACAAAAGCCAGACGAAATGGATGTACACAAACTTTGCCAAGTTTCTGGTAGTTGTTGTTGATGTTGATGTTGCTTTTCCTGGTAGTCAGGGGGCGGCTTTGATGGCATCAAAGTGAGCTTGTCGTTGTGCAGACAAATGTTACGTACTCTCGTCACACTCGTACATATGCAAATGTCCCTTGCCGGCGCAGTGCTGCAGTGCGTCCTCCACAATTGACAATTGTTGAAAATGCAAATGGAAATGGAAATGCCAAGACATGTGCCCAACAGCCACACCAGCAATTCATACATATGCCATGGATAATGGAGGCTTCTCGGGGGAGGAGGCCGTGCAGGTACAGAAGTAAAGAGGTGAAGACAAATGCAAAGGCGATGTCTCTACTATCATCATCCGGCGACGACATCTCCTCAGATAAGATAAACGTTGGCAAAGTCAACAGCAACAACTATGGGAATGCATGTACTGGAAAAAATAAATGAAGAAAATTCGGAATGTACGATTTAAAAATATTTCCTACTAATTCAAAATATCCAGGAAATATGCCTGAAAGTAGGAAAACTCTATGCTTTGGGTTATATATTTACCAGTGATTTTTAATCATTATGTTTATCGTTTCGTTATTATATTTTTTATTTAGTCAGAACACTATACTAATTGAAAACTAAATATTAAGATAGATACACCAGAAGAAATGTATACAAGAACGTTATAATGTAGAACGTTATTTAGATGAAAAATATACAGAAAGTGTTTTCATAGACAAGTACATTTATGTAGAGTCTCAATATACCTTCCCTTCTCAATATTATAAATAAGTTTTTTTTTATGGCGCTCAATAAATAAATATTTTAAATACTTGTTTTGATTAGGAGAAAATTTATTAAAAACTATCTTGTGAAAAGATAATTATTTAAGGAGTAATACATTTTTCTAAGATGGCCAAAATAATTTCTCTACAAATCCGACACATTTTTTCAAGTGCCCTAGGGAAAGGTCAGTGTAAATAAATGAAAACGGATTCGTAGCCCACCGCAGGCCGAAATAAATTCTCAAGTGCAAATGAGGTAAATGACAAGGGGTACAAAACCATCATAACCCCTGACCTGCCTGCCTGCGACCCAAAACTCCCACTTCGTCGAGCAGTTGACAGTCGAGAGCAAACATGTCCGAGATGAACATCCATTTTGCATTTGGCAAATGAAAAGCGGGAAAGCTACAACTGACGTAGTGGCTGGCAGACAGCTTGTCTATGCATCAAGCCATCTCTATCTGGGCCTGTATCTGTATCTGGAAGTCCGTATCTGGTAACCGTATCTTTTCCTCTCTCTGTCTGCCTTTTGCAGCTTCATCAAATATTTAGCGCCAGGCAGGCGGCTTCATCTCGAGGGGCGGAGAGGAGGGACAAATAAGCGCATTCATTGTGTTCGTTCAGTGTAAATACGAAACGGATGTAGCACTGCTTGGAAAATAACAACTTTGAAATCTTGAGAGCTGACATCGACTGATGTGATACTGTAAAAAGATCCGACAGAAGTTGGATAAAAACTTCTTCCGTTTAACAAATGTGTGTGTATATTTCCTAGGTTCGGAATATTTTAATTTATAAATTTTATAAATAATATACAAAAGTTGGTACATCAAATCTTTCAAACATGGTAACCTCTTAGTTTTGTACATATGTTCATATATTTCTTGCTATATAGAAATATTATAATTATAGATTTATTTTTAAATCCCATTTTTGCAGTTTCCAAAATTTTATAGATAAAATATATGTATTTGTAATATTTGCCAAATTTTAATGCTATTCTAAGGATTTCTTATAAATCAAAAAAATTGTTAAATTTTTTTTCAGAAGATAATTATTTGGAACTAATCTTATAAAGATACCAACAATGTTCTAGAGATTTCTCTTAAGTTAAACAAAGGAACACTAGAATTCGGGGTTCGTTACATAAATACTACCTTTGTTGCTTTATCGATATACCATTTGATCCAAGTTTCCAGACGTTAATAGTTAGTTGTGGTAGTTTTTACTACATCAATCACTGTATTTAATAGCTTTGTATAAGGATACATAAAAGTCTAGAAACTGTTAAAGCAATTCCGTCCGAACTAATGAATAAAACAAACTTTGAGGGAATCGATTTTAGTCCTTGTTTATACGTAAATTTAATAAACCTCCCCCACCCCGAACACCGAACACAGTATACCCCTGCAGCAGATGCTTTATAGAGAGCAGGCGAACTACCCTGCAACAAAATAGGGGGTGTGGGCAGTGCCAACGACCAGCAAGAACAGCCAAAAAGCCGGCAACAACAAACGCCCGCGCAGTGCCGGCAAAATGTTGCATGTTGCTGCCGTACCACATTAGCAACATGTCGCTTGTTGCTGCCGTATACGCATCAGCAACATCAGCAGCAAACATTGCATTTGTGTGGGTCGCCTCAGCAACATGAGCAGCGTTTCAAAAACTTGTTTTCAACGTAGTTGGATTTAGTTTACTTTGAGACGGCGACGCAGGTGGACGTGTCCGAGTGCGAGTGAAAGAGATCGAAAAACGCGAGCGGAACGTAAGCGGACCGCGTTATAGAAAAAAAAACAACAACAGCAGCAGCAGCATTTCAGTGTTTGTCTTTAGTTTTATGGCGCACGCTTCGCGTCAGGTAGTTTTTTCCCGAGATATATATATATACATCATATACCTGTATGTAATGTTTTTGTGATTCGTCTGGCGGCAATGTTTTATGGCTGACAAAACCATCCAGCGTGTAAAGGTTGTACTACCCCGTGCGAGAATAAAATCAGAGGTGTACATTCTGCGTGAAAAGTGCTAGTGTTTACCCTTTTGCCGGGATTACTCATCAGCGCATCATCATCATCATCGTCATCGACTACAACTCCACTGCCACAACTTTACGAAATCCCAAAAACCAGTATCTCCTCTGAGCCCAAGTATCTGCAAGATACGTGAGGCAGTCCAGACCACATATTGGAATTTACTTAACACGTATGCAACGACGCACCAATACCACTAGGCCACACAGTTCGAGCGGGACCCATTGGATTTTGGAACTGAAAAAACTACAGGGTAGGTACAAATCGTGGCTAATCGCGGTCTCTTCCCTGGAAAAGAACAGAGAAATAAACTCACACTTGTCCAGCTGCGTTTTTCCACCCTCAATAAATTTTTGGGCTACCTGTCTCGGGATTGACCCTCTGGTTTTCCCATTAGCCGCTAGAAGATTTCACTGCTGCCGCTGCTATATGGTATATCGGAAAGCTATGGCTATTTATAAATATAGGTACCCTGCGCTTTGGGGCCCAGGCTCAAATCCGGTTTTCATATATCCCAGCCCATGTCTGCTGGCGGGGCCAACATCAATTCAATTTCTACTGGCTGAGTGAGTTTTTAACTCTCGACGAGAAGAATCTCCATCTCCAGGTCGAGCAGCATCTTCGCTGTGATCTCTGGAGAGCTGGTTTCTGCAAGACGTTTTCTTTTCTTTACTTTTCTTCGCTCGCTTTGTTTTCTTTCGTTTCGTTTTCGTTTTTTACCATTTGCCGATCGTCGTGTTGATGTTGATCATGATGCTGTGGCTTATTGCCGCCAAGATTTTGTATTTTTGCCGATTGAAGGTGCATGGCCTTATTTACCCAGTTTCCAAATCGCTCACCGATTTCTGCTTATTCCGTTTTGGGGTTTGTTTTGAGGTATTTGCTGAATCACACGGGGATCATTTGAATGTTTTAGCCAGACAGTCGATGGAATGGGGTTGTATTCTGTTTTTTTTTTGTATTATTTTTTAAGAGTCACACCCATGGCGAGTAAGTATCCCGCTCCGGAATTGACTCACGGCCAAACAATGCGACATGCGGCGAATTGCTGTGGGGATACTGGCATGGGCAAAAGAGAAAAAATCAAAATGCAAAACTTGTTGCTAATAAACAACAATTACAACAACAAAAACAAGTTCAGCTAACCACAAAAATGCTGGCAGCTAAACTCCAGAGTCGCTCGAAGTTGCCCAGGAGCTCTACTCCGAACACCACACCGAAAACAAGTCCGAGCACAGAGCCATTGGCTGTTGTTGCTGCTGCTGCTGTTGTCACACTAGCCACCAGCAACAGCAACACCAACAGCAACATAAGCAATTTGTTGCTGCTGCACAGAGAAAAACAACACACCCAAAACAGTTTTTCATATCCATAACAAATACACCTTTATCTGCGATCAAAAACGTTTCTTTATCTTCCACAACAGATACATTTCGAACACTTTTGTATTTAAAACTACATTGTTTTTTTAAACCTCTTAGGATTTATTTATTTCATTAAGCCGATTTTAAGTATTTGGGTGCCACAGAAATATCAAGAAATTGTTTCTTCTATCCCCTTTTAATATCTGTAGTAGCCGAAGAATATCTGCGGTTTATGGGAAAAAAATTATCAAAATTCTTTCTAAACAATCCATATTATTAGGAGATTTCAGGGCCAAGGTCTTTAGCTCCCCCTCTTTTTAAAACATTAATTTTAGTATTATATAGTAGCTTTAAATGGTTAAATAAATAAAATATTAGAGGATTTTTAGTGCTGATTTTAGTCAATAACATCATTCAAAACACTAAATGGAACCATGCAAAAGTTATTAAAAGGTAATATACTTTATTAAGGTGTTATAAGGTTTCTAGCGTTGTAATGGGTATAATTGTATATTTTAGTAGGAGTGAAATTTTAGAAAAATACGAGTCGTGTGTAATTTGCGAAAGATTGTTAAACTACATTTAAAGAACATTCTGGAAAATGCATGCTATTTCATGGTAACCAAAACAAAGTCACATAAAACCAACTACATTCTTTTCAATGATCGGTATCAACAAAGTCATAAAAACTCTATTTTTCACCGTGCATGTGTAAATCGGTGTCCCCATGTGAAGACCATAAAAAGCGGCCAAGTGGCCAGCTGCCTCGGCTTTCCTCTGGCCACCGGAGACCAAACCAAAGAACGGCCATAACTGTGTCAGTGTGCAACTAGAAGAGGTCTAAGCCTATTAAGCACACTGGCTTAAGATCGGGCGATGCCGGGAGATAATACCCGTAGCTCCCCAGCCGATTAAGTGTAATTAATGCCGACAGGTGTCACTGAATTGGCGCAAGCTCAAAGAGATTGCAACGCCCTAATTGGTTCCTCCAATTAGGAGATGTGTTTGTATGCCGGCACTTTCGCCACATCAAAAAAGGGAAGGGAAGACTTCTACTAGATGCTCTCTTTATTTACGTGATTAGCATGCGGATCGCTAGGGATCATATTCATTGCCCAGGATTGTGATTTTCCGGAGGGCTTTACTCCACCTCCTCTTGGCTCCGGCGGACGCAGCGGGTGACCTTTCGCTTGAACTCCGCATAATTCTCACGATACTCCTTGGCCGCGTCCACATTGGCGGCCGATTCATCATTGGGATCGGTGAGCATAGAGATCACCGAGAGGAGGATCGTCTCCACGGTGTGGACTGGAAGCCAGCGCTCCTCGGCCTTCTCGTAGCCCCACTTGTCGTCACCTGGTTCGTGGAGGATTGAGATACAAACGTCCCCGGCCTTGTCGATATTCGGATGCCAGATCTCGGTGATGAACTTCATGCGCGGCGGACGCAGCGGGTACTCCTTGGGAAAGACCAGGTGCGCCCTGAAGCATCCGCCCTCGTAGAGGGTGTCCGCCGGACCGATGATCACCACCTCCCATTTGAAGATATCCGAGTCGCTGACCAGACCGGCGGAGAAGCCCTCGACGGGATTGCGCTGCAGCTCGGAGAGCTGGCGATTGAGCAGTAGCGATGCTTGCAGTTCTGACATGTCACTGGACTGGGGGATGGTATTGCGATCGCCACTAGTAGGATATATGTATCTCCAGAGGGGAAGAACTATACTTACTGGAATTTTGTTCTATTGTTTCGAGTCACTTTCTGGGTTACTTCTACGGCTGCTGAACTACAGTCAAAGGCAGCCAGCCGAGAAAGATCTTTCAGCGACTACTGTGTTTTCTAAGTAATCGGTGACTATGTAAAAGATTCTTAGCAAATAAGAATATACTTATCAAAATAAACTGATTGTAATCAGATATATACCGTAAACGTAAGAGGAACTTTTACTGTATTGCTCTTTAAGGTATCTATCCCTATTAACTTTTTATCTGTTCTATATTATAAATTATAAGTACCTACTTTTTGAATGCGCGGAACTGAAAACTTTACAATAGAGCTTCGTCCAATTTGTAGACCAACATTACATTACATTACATTTTGAATTTTAAATGGTATCACTTAAAATCTGAGTGATATAAATATAACATACCATACTTTAATATTTGAATATTTTGTAGTTAATTGGAAAGTGTCTATTTGAACATAATCAATTATTGAAATTGGTATAAAAAGATATTACAGCAAATAGTAACAATCAAGACTGTTAACTTAAAGAACTTATACGTAACATGCTAAAAGGAACTAAAAGATCAATTCCCTTTGTCTGATAAAGGAATGTCTAGTTCCACTATCTTTACAATTGTAGCCCTTTCAATGCCTGTGTAAAGAAACTATCTCCATAGAAATCCTCTTGAAGGCGACTCGAAAGTTTCCATTATAAGCTCTTTGCTCTTGGCCTGGAATGGGTCCAAGGAAAGTCCCTCTTTCCTTTCATTTCCCTCCATTTCCAGCAATTACTTGGCCGTTGCTAATGCTACTGGTGCCACTCTTTTCCTCCTTTTTATTTTTCCTTTTTTCCGAACTGGCTGAATGGAAATTATGATGGCCGCCACATTGTTGCCGTTGGTTTTGGCCTTTCGTAATTGCGCACAAATGTTGGCCCAGAGTTTCTTGCTGGCCTGCAACTTCGACCACGACATGTGGCGGCTGCCCCATCGACTTTTCCGCAGCTTTGAGGTTTTTCTTCTCATTCCTCCTTTTTTTTTTTTGCAAAATTGCATTTGGCTGGCATTTGGAAATCCGCAACTTTAGCTGACTATCTGAGTATCGCTAACTGAAATTATGTTGCCGCAAATGTGTGAATCGTTAATGTCTTGTTGCCAGCTGGGGAACATTGCGCTTGCTCTTTCGGCACTGCCGGTTTTTCAAGTTATCTATGCTGCGAGTTTTCTCAAAAATTCCTTCGCTTTTTTTGTATGCATTATTATTTTTTGTAATAATATTTACCTACCTGCAACAACATGTGGAGTTCTTCGACTAACCAAGAACCAAGTCGCATTCGAAATTTGCTAAATTATCCAGCACATGCCAAAAGGGGGCGGAGGAGTAGGGTTCATATAAAACATGTTTGGCCAGAACACATAAGACCGACAGCTGCTGCTCGGCCGGTTCCTCCAGCTCTGGCTGCCTCTACTTCAACTTCTACTTATATCTCCGCATCCAACCGACTCTGCCCATTTAAGTGCCACATGTCGGAGACGTTCCTCCAGTTCCCGCAGGGAAAGCGATATGACAGCGAGAGCCGGGAAACTCACACGTGCCACAGCGCACCTCCAAGTAAAACTCGAATTTTCATTCCCTACACTCGGGGGAAAAACGCCCACTTCAATCTAGATAAGAAATCTAGAGGAAATTGAGAGCTAAACACATTTCATCAGATAATTGAATTAGTCATTTTCATAATACAAACTATTGTCAAGCCAAGATTGCATATATTTAGGAGCCACAATGTTTAATGTCTATTTATTGCTTAATAAATAAAGGTTTGAATTATAAATGGTAATTTAATTGTCAACAGTCTGACAACATTATTATTGATATTCAAATTCTTGTATTATTTATTTGCGGAACAATAAAATGGTGTTTTAATTAGTTCATCTATAAAGTTGGCATATAATTTTAGAGATGAAAAGAGCTAGGAAAATGTTTAAAAATTAACCGGTACTATACACAATTCATGGCACCTAAATATTTTATTTTTTTAGCATGAGTAATATAATGAAATTAAAATATAAAAAGATTATTTTTATTACTTAATTGGTAAGGCCTATAAAAAAGTTGGTAAATTACTCGATTAAAGTAAATGTCTTTTCTGTAACAAATATTTTCTCAGTGCATAAGATGTGGGATATAATATTTTATTATCACACAAGTTCTCTAGGCACAGGATATTTTAAAAGGGTATACACATATTCTTTGTGATCCATCATTGCAGAAACAGAGTTATCCCTAATTTGGCGCTTTAGATACGCCTTTCTTTTTCAGATCTTTTATATTTTTTTCTGTGTAGAAAAAGTGTCGCGCTCGTGCTCATTGGTAAAGTGATAGAGTGACATTGCTTCGGCGGCCTTTCAACCGATTTCGGCTCACTTTGTGGAATTGATTTTCAATATTCATTAAGACACCCACATGCAAATGCAGACACTGCCCCGGGTTCGTTGCCATGGCATTTGATTGGAGAGCGGAGGGGTTCCCATTAAAATGAGGGTGTCTGAAGTTCATCTGCTCGTCGGTATTCCCTTACTTGCTTTTCATTTTTTTTTGGTGGGCGTGGTGGTTGCATGCGACAATTGCATTTCCGGCAAAAACCAGCATGTTCCACTCCTCAATATTCCCTTTGGCTATCTGAGTTTTTCTCCCTTCGAGGTTTTTTTTGGGTTTGGCCCCTGTTTCCTAAACGGAGCACCTGCTCTCCTGGCTGCGTGCCTCAAATTGTTGGCTCATGTTGCGTCCATCAAACAGCTGACGGCGTCGATCAATTGAAATGGCTTTTTCCTTCGTTTTTCCATCGCCCTATAATGCTGCATCGCCACCGAGTTGCTGCGGTCCGTTCTTCTCGTTGATGACTTCCTGGATCTAATGACTGGGCAACCTGCTGATGAATTGTCTTTCAAGTTGATCGTAAAGTATATTAATAGTTTCTCTAGCAGGCATGTAATGTTGTAAGGATGAGAGGCACCCAGAAAGAAAGTTTTATGATCTCCGTTTATAGTAATAAAAATTGCAATCTTTGCCTTCAAAATGAAATCAATCATTTATCGTATAGTAATATATAACAATAATTCCTTGAGCGATGTGTTTAGGTAACACTTCATTGTAATTAAACGTAAGACTTTAATTAAAAATTGTTATAAAAGGGTGTGGATAAAAGCATGTCCTCGGGCAGCAAAAACTTGCAAAGCAGTGCAAAAAACACCACCTCTCTCTGCACTTCTCATAAATTCAACTTAAGTGAGTGACCAACTGGATTTTAGTGCTTTATTGGCGCTCTGAGTTATGCACTCCCATTTTTGTTGCCCCCGGCACACAATTTCCAATTGCATGCAGAAATATGAGGAGGAATTGCTCTGCTCGGGAAAACTGGCCATTATATCGTTCCGCATAGAGGGAGCAAAACAATGCTAAAGAGAGAACTCAATAAATTGCAGAAAAGCGAAAAGTGGAAGGAATGAAAAATAAACAAGAACGAAACTGCAAAAATATAAAAAAAGGAAAACACGCTTTCCACTTGCAGTTTTAATGTGTTTGGTGCGTTGTTCCTCGTTTTATAATTGAGTTGGCAGTTGCAGCTAAAGTTGGAGTTGCAGTCGTGCACTCATCGCTACCCGAAAACCATCCACATTTCCCTGTCCAGCCCAAAGATGCCCCCTTTTTCCCTGGTTTTCCCTTGCTTTTCCCAATGGAAATGGGTGGGTTGCCATCGGGATTCGGCCACGTTGCTGTTCACTCGTGTGCACTGAATGCGAAAAACTTCTGCACACTTTTCAACTGCAACGCGATATTATTTTATGTACATATTCCTCATATTTTTATTATTATTATTATTTCATAATACCGTCGGCCCAGTGCGGACTTACCTTTGTGCGCTGCATTGAAATGGAGGCGCAGACTCAAACGCTCGGGGATCTGGTGCACCGATGCCAGACAAAAACCGCCATCCTTGCGGTGGGTTCCGTAATGAGCGTTTCCGTCAAAGCCATTTTCTCGTTCAAACACTTGGCAAAAAGTGGGTCTTAAAAGTGTTTGGACGAGATTTGATTGTGCCACAATTTTTAGATTTTTTGTTCACCCTTGTTCCAAGCTGTCCAGCATATCTGGCCCAACCATATCATATCATACTACCAATTATAATATATTGTCCCTAATATATTTTCATTTTTTTAATTCTATGTTTTTTTTATTTTCAGAATAAAGCCGAATCTTACGGTAAGTTTTAAAAGATCAGTACATAATATTTTAAAAATTAAGAATATTTTTTTTGTTAGTGCACTGGCACTTAGGTTAACGTGCCGCATTTAAAAGGGTATTTTCTTTCTATCACCACACGGCTGACTTTAAATTGGATCTACACTACATAATTGCTCAATTTCTTGCTTCATTAACGGGTTTTCCTTTGCATTCGGTTAGTAATTTGTCGGACCCAATGAAAGATCACCCAGGAAGCGAGAAACTCTTAATTTGTCCGACCATAAACATTTAGGGCCTTTTCTATGCTTTTTTCTAAACCCACTTGTAGACCCAGTAAAGTGTGAAGTGTAAAGCGTTATGCGTACGAGTGTTTCATAACTCACTCATAAGACCGGCAAACAAATGAGCAAAAGTGTGCTACTGGGGTCTGGAAATCGAGGGATCTGGGGAGCCAGATGAGCCGTTAGACAGTGCCCATGGCGCCCCAGAGTTCATTTACTCCGCTCGGCCACCAAAGAAAATTCTATGGAAAGAAAAGGCAGGCGGAAAAAAATTCGACAAAAAAACGTCAAGCAACGTTATTTGTAGTTTTTATTTCTTTTATTTTTTTATTTACCCATCTCTTTTTACTAGACCATTTCGTTTTTAAAAGCTTTGCTGGCCGGCTGTTCTTTGTTCCGGGTGAAGAGCGGGGGTCTAAAGACTGGGGCTTCAAAAAAAAATCCAAGCTTGGCCTGAAAAAGTGCTTATTAAATTTAATGACAGCACGTTTGCTTGCGAAAAGCGATTCGACAATTTTCGTTATTTTTTTGTAAAGCTTTTTTCCAACCTTTTGGTTATACTGCTTTTTTGAGTAGTTTTTTTTATTCGT